TGTTAGAGGAAGAGGAGGGTGTGGAGGAGAATGTGGGGGTTTTGGAGGTGTTGAGCTCCGGGGGCTCCGTGGCGGAGGGGTTGATTGGAGAGGAGTTGACGGGAGAGGAGCTGGCTGGAGAGCCAATGGAGGAGGTTGTGAAGGCGCCGGTGGCCGCAGTGCCATTGGCGTCTGTGGAGCAGGGGGAGCGGGTGCCCCGGACGGTGGAGGAGTGGGAGGAGAAGATGGGGGGGAATGCCTTCGTTAACCGGATGTGCCGGAGAATGGGTAGGTTGATGGGGGAGGGGAGGAGTGAGGAGGCAAATGTTCTGTGGGATAGGCATTTGCCTATACCTCTGCGCCCAAAATGGGTGCCGGTAATTTACGAATACGTGAGATTTGCGCTTCTAGCGTTTTTCAACTTGAGATTCGCGCTTTTGGCGTTTGGGAGTATGTTGGTTTTGTATTTGTCGTTCATTTTCTTGTTCAAGGAAGATTTCGAATGCCTGAGTGTTTAATATGTTTTCTTCCGGTTCCCATGTATCACCACTAGGTCCCCAACCTGTCCATCTCACAAGATATTCCGGAGGTTTGTTTTTTCGTTGTCGTTTTTCAAGAATTTCCTCAACTTGGTATTCTTCTTCGCCGTCGACAAGTTCCGGTCCTGGTTCTGGTAAAGCTCCATTCCTGCGGTTGTATGGCTCCAATAAAGAAACATGGAATACAGGATGGATGTTTCTATATGAAGGTGGCAGTTCCAGTTTGTACGCTTGTTTTCCGATGGTATTCAGAATCTTGAAGGGTCCAACATATTTATGGTCGAGTTTACGAACCGGGCGTAGTAATCGGAGGTTTTTTGCATTGAGCATGACGTAGTCACCTATTTTAAATTGTTGAGGCTTATGTTTTGCATCGTAATAGATTTTCTGTGCTTGTCGTGCTTTTTGTAGGTTCTCGATGAGCTTGTGGCGTGTTTCCTCAATATGTTTCGCGCGGCTAGCAGCATGTATGGCAACCGGTTGTGGTGGTTTGCTGACGTTAATTTTCAAATCAGGTCGATATCCCATTAAGGCTTCCGCGGGTGCCATTCCAGTAGAGGCATGTTGAGAGGTATTGTAAACAAACTGTGCTAGTGGTAGCCAGCGTGCCCAGTCATCTTGATGATAGTTGACAAAGCATCGGAGATAATGTTCCAAGGTTTGATTCTGTCGTTCCGTTTGGCCATCTGTTTGAGGGTGAAAGGCTGTCGAAAGTTTCCGGCGTGCGCCTAGCATGTAACAAAAGGTGGACCAGTAATGGCTTGTAAACAGCGAACCTCGATCGGATATATGGTTTTTAGGTACTCCGTAAATTGTATAGAACTTGGTATAAACGATTTCCGCTAGCTCATCCGCTGTAATGTTTTTGGTGCAAGGAATATAGATCGTAAACTTGGTATATATATCCACAATCACTAAAATCGCATCGTAGGTTTGGTGGAGGAATGTAGAGGCTGGCAAGCCTGTAATAAAATCCATAGTAATGGATTCAAAAGGATTTGATGGTAAGGGAATTATACCCAACTCTCCATATTGTCTGTGCCGTTTTGGCTTAACTCTTTGACAAGTATCACAAGTGGATATATAATCTTTGACATCCCTGACTAGCCCATGCCAATAGTATTTGTCCTGGATGCTGTCTATGGACTTTTTTATACCAAAGTGACCCCCCTGCGGATCATCATGGTTTGCACTGATAATTTCATCAATGAGTGCCTTTTGTTGAGGGACATATGCGCGACCATCAGCACGCAATATATCATCCTCAGAAATTGTCCATAGCATATTTTCAGCAACAGTCATACCCTTCTCTTTTACCTTCTCTCTTTGCTCAGCAGCAAAAGAATCAATCTTCTGTGCTTTACTCAGAAATGAGGTGAAGGATTCAGGCATTTCTGTATATGCTGAGTCCCCAAGAATAGCCTTATTGACTGCAATCCGGGGCATATATTGCTCAACGCGCATCAGAGGGGAAGAGTTTACGCGAGAGGTATAAGACGTCGACGTATGGAGCGCTTTTCGCTCATTAAAAGGAGCATTTTGCTCATTAGAGACCCGTGCACAGACTACATCAGAAGAAATATCATTTTGAAAAGAAGTATCAGCTTCCCAGCCTAGCTTAACTCCATGTTTCAGTTTCTGTTGCAGGGTAGGTAACATAGTTTGGCCATTATAGGCCTCACTGTAGTCTGCGCGACGACTGGGCCCATCAGCTGGATTCTTTGATCCAGGGCGGTGCAGTAATACAAAATCATAAGCAGATAAAGCTTCCGCCCATCTGGCCTGACGTCTGTTCAGTTCCTTAGTCGTCATAAAGTACTGCAGATTGGCATGATCAGACCAGACTTGAATTGGATACTGGCTTCCCTCCAGATAGTGTCTCCAATTCTTAAATGCTGCTACAATAGCCAAGAGTTCTTTATCATGAGTATCATAACGCGTTTCCGCATCAATCAACTTTCTTGACCAGAAGGCAACTGGATGCCAGTGCCCGTCATCCTGCAATTGTGACAGGATAGCAGCGACTGCAAAAGTGGACGCATCAGGTTCAATCTGAATACGCCGAGCTGGGTCAAAATGAGCTAATAAAGGAGCACGCATAAAGCGCGATTTGAGCTCATTGAAAGCGCTTTGGGCACTTTCTGTCCACATAAAAGTGGCTTTTCTTTCCCCTTTCTTGCTCCCTTTTGTAAGTTCGAATAATGGGGCTGCAATAGAGGAGAAAGACTTAATAAATCGCCGATAGAAGTTAGCAAAGCCCAAAAAGGATTGAACCTCTTTAATTGATTTAGGTGTAGGCCATTCCACAATAGTGGAGACTCTGTCTGGCTCCATCTCAATACCATTTGTACCTATAACAAACCCCAGAAACGAGACTTTGTCCACTTCAAACTCACATTTAGAGAGTTTTGCAAATAGATTCGCACGCTCGAGACGTTCTAGCACCTTAGTAACATGCACTTTATGTTCCTGCTTTGAATTGGAGAATATGAGAATGTCGTCCAAATAAACAACGCAACATATATCCAACAAATCAGACAAGGCATTGTTAATGTATGCTTGAAATGTCGCTGGAGCATTAGCTAATCCAAATGGCATAACTACATATTCAAAATGTCCATATCTCGTTCTAAAGGCTGTCTTCCAACGGTCTTTTGCCGCTATAAGTATGCGGTGGTAGGCATCTCGAAGGTCCAGCTTAGTGAATACCTTGGCTTTTGAGAGCCTGTCAAGTAATTCACTTATTAAAGGTAGAGGGTATCGGTTCTTGATGGTGATTCGATTTAACCCTCGATAGTCTACACAAAGACGGAGTCCACCATCTTTCTTGGGGACAAAGAGAATTGGTGCACCAGCCGGGCTACTGGACGGTTGTATCCACCCTTTGTCTAATGCATTCTTTAAATATTCTCTTAGGGCAGCTAACTCAGTTTCAGAGAGGTTGTATATCGGCATGAATGGAGGTCGCGCACCAGGCTCGAGATCTATGCGGTGTTCCGCCTCTTCTGGTCTTTGCGCGCTTATAGCAGCTTCTTCTGAGAAGATATGCGCGTATGGCATAACATAATCGGGTAGGCCGGTCGGCAAGTCCGAATATGCAGCCGAGAATACGCGTGGAGCATGCTTTGGGTCTTTTGAACATTCTGTAGGTAATACTACAAGCATTCCTACTCTGGCTCCGGTGAGAACTTCAGCTAAAACATCTTGTTCAGAAATAATTTGAGGCTGTTGTTCATCTCCAGAGCTTCTGAAGAAGAATTGTCCATCTGACCAATCTATAAGAGGATTTGTTTGTTTTAACCAAGGAAATCCTAACACAAGATTGTAGTCCTTCATTTTCATCGCATGGAAGGAATGAGATGTCTGCTGTGCATTACCCTTGTGATCAGTGACAGTGGTTGCAATGTTATACTCTCCAAAGGAGCGCATTATGCATCCATCAATCGATTTGACCATCTTGGTTTTGCGGTGAGCAGCTTCTAGATTGTGGTCTTTTGCCCAAAATTCATCGACACAGTTCACTTCTGACCCAGAGTCTACTAGTGCAAGCACTTTTTGCAGACTCTTAGGCGTAGTGATTTCCACTGTGACATTGAAACTTAAGGCATTTTTGCATCGACTTTCCGCGCTTATAGTTGCCATTGCGAGCTGAATGGCGCGCTTTAAGCGTTTTTTGAGTCCTTTGTGTTCTTCGTATCTTTCGCATTGAGTTTCGAGTCGGATTTAGTGTTCTTGGATTCATCTTTGGGTCGTTTGAAGCATGAATCGACGGTATGTCCTGGTCGCTTGCAATAACGGCAATATTTCGATCGGGTGGAGTCATCGGACTTTGTAGTGTCATTCCATCTGCGTTTGTTTTGTGGCTTATTACCAGCATTATTTCTGTTGTTAAAGCTTTGAGTAGGGTTTCTGAAGTTTGACTTCTCTTTAAGTTTCTTCCGTCTTTCTGGCAGATTTGATTCTGCTATTGCAAGTTTGTGAAGAGTGGCATCATAGCTTAACTCTTCTAGTTTGGTTGCATATTTGTCAAATTCTCGGCGAATGGAAGGGTAGAACTTTCATGTAGAGGGTGTGATTTCCGATGGTATTCGCTATAAGGATGCCGCAGACGCCCTTCAATTGATTGTAAATGTGAAGCAAATTGTTGAACTGTCTGATCTTCTTGTTGCTCTGTTTTCCAGTACTGTCTATCTGCATCTCGGAAACTTTTATCTGGATCGGTGACTTGACATTGCATCCAGCTAACAAATTCTTCCCATGGTGGCAAAATCCGCATATCATGTGTATGTTGATACCAACGTTGTTGCATCTCGACATTGAAATGAGTGACGGCTTCGATGACCTTCCGATGGTCGTGTTCGTTGTAATAATCAAGATCACTGGCATGGAAAGCGATAGCAGCTGTAACAAAGTTTTCAAATTCTTTCATGCTTTGGCCTCGGAACTTTTCCACATCTCTCCGAGGAGGGTGACCGCTCATGCCGGGATCTCGAAGTTCTAATTGCCAAAGTGGTACCCGACTACGTCTCCCACTGACAGTAGTCACGGCGCTTTCCACTAAGGTGTTGGGCGCTTGTAGCGTAGGCTCCGGTGGTCCGAGGATGCTTGTGGCGTTTTCGCGGTTACAATTCACGCTAGTTGCGTCTCTACCATGGTTCGGATGCGCTTCGAGTGTATTTCGGGTGGCTGGGATGGTTTCATCCAATTCTTGCAGTAAAGTATTGCACCGGTGTTGGAGTTCTCGCAATTCCTTCTCAGCCTGTAACTTCTTAATTCTCCTAGTCACAGCTATCTTCTCGGCCTCAATTGCATTCAGATCTTCAGAAGAGGTGTCCCCTTCTGAACTATGCTCAGAGTCTGGTTCCATAGGAGAGGTTGATGCTTGTTGCACACTTTCAGTGGCAGGGGTGCGCGTTTCGCGGTTTTCTTCACTGGTGTTTGTTGCTTCTGGTTCGGCGGTAGCACGAGTACGGCGGATGCTGCGGGTAGAGGCCATGACTATTACTCAACGGACCGTCTCTCGAAGATTGAGCGATTAGAAACTGTGAGGGGTGATGACAGTGTGAAGAGTGAATAGTAGAAGATAGTATATAGTGTAGTGGAAGATAATAATAATTATAGTAGTAGTATAGTTGAAGTTGTAGTTGTAGTTGTAGTTGTAGCTAATCGCTGAAGAGGAAAAGAAAGAGAAAGAAGATGTGCGAAATACATGCATCCATATATATATACATACAGAAATAGTGGTAGCGAGAGTATAATGGAAAGAGGTAAGAATAGACGAAGATATAAACAAAGATAATATAATAATAAGGAAATAATAAACGAGTGCATTACAGCAACTGAATTGGAAATCTGTTTCAAAGAATTGTAACATGGGCTTATATTAAGAGAAAAATAAGAGAATCATGTTTGCAAAAATGGCAACATATCTGATTTTTACAAAAAAAGAGTGTACATTATTTCAGGTTTGAAACTAAGCCAAAATAGAAAGCTTGCTCAATAAAATGTAAAAAGAA